CTATTAGCAAGTTTATCTTCTTATACCTAAAACAATCACATATGAGAGAGAAAATTATCCCGCTCAATTATTACCCGCCTTATCTTATACCTAAAAGCACTACATATGAGAGAGAAAATTATTTCGTTCAATTGTTAGCAAGCTTATCTTTTAAGACCTAAAAGTACTACATTTTTTAATCCCGAAGGTCACCAACCTAAAAGTACTACATATGAGAGAGAAAACATTCCCGCTCAATTGTTAGTAAGCTTATCTTATACCTTAAAGCACTACATATCATTTCATCATCATTTTCGTTTACCCCAGTGTCGCAAAGGCTCCCACCTACGGTGGGGTAGGGGGGGTCGGATGTACGCAGTCTTACCCTTATACTAAAGAACAGAGAGACTGTTTCCGAATGACCCATAGTGAAAATCGCGTCCAAAATTGCATGGACCGACTGCTGCTTCATAACAAAGAAGCGCAGACAGTTTAGTGAGCCATTTTGCTTTATTCCATCATATTCTCAATCCAAAAAAATAATGAATCTTTGGCTCCATTGCAAATGATGGAAAGCTTAAAGCACTACATATGAGATAGAAAAATTCCATGCTCAATTGTTAGTCGGATTACTTAATTTATATTTAAAAGAACTACATATGAGGGCGAAAGTTTTTCGGCTCAATTGATAGAAGGATTATTTTCTTAATTATCTCCCTATACAGTTATACCTAAAATCATTACATGTGAGAGAAAAAATTATCTCGTTCAAATGTTAGTCGGTTTATTTTATACTAGACGAAATACCCGTGCGATGCACGGGTCTATCTAGAATAGAATAATACTTTATTTGAAAATAGTACTCACTCCGCTCTAAAATTAAATTCCGAGTTTTACTACACGGGTTTTAAGGTAGAATAGGAAATAAAGTTGGCTTTCTAAAAACACTATTTAAGAAGAAACTATCACAAATTTCAGCTTTTTTAAAGCCAAAAGCTGAAAAACATTTTTTTAAAGTTGTTGCAACACACTGAAGAGGATCTATGTTTCTTGGGTGCCCTCGGCATGAACCTAGCCTTCGGCCACTCATCAGCCTTCGGCCATATGTCACTAGCCGAAGGTTTTACATTCTACGAAGCTTCCTCTGGAGACAAGCAACCACCGCATTCAATGCTGCGTCACATCTAACTACCGCATTTAATGCGGTGCACATGCAAATGCCGGTGCCACCCCCGATTGAGGTGACCCCTCGGCCATTAGATTGCTGACACTTGTACTCTCATCGCATTTATGGCTGCTATAAATAGCAGCCTTTATTTCTCTTGTAAAGGATCCCAGATCAGTATTCATCAATATATCTGACTCTCTCTCTCTCTCTTACTTGTTTGCTCCGACTTCTCTCTAGTGATTCCCCGTAACAACCCCTCAGATAAGCTACCCCCAGGGTACACTATCCATCAGTCATATGTAGTGTTTTTAGGTATAAGTTAGTCAGACTAACATTTGAGTTGAAAATTTGCTCTCATATATAGTTCTTTTTTGTATAAGACTAGCTAGCAATTAATTGAGCAGTTTTTTTGCTCCCATATATAGTGTTTTTAGGTATAACATAAGCCGGCTAACAATTGAATGAGAGAATTTTCTCTCTCATATGTAGTGATTTTAGACATAACAAGATAAGTTTGCTAATAGTTGAGTGAAAAATTTCTCTCTCTTATATGTAGGCTTTTACATATTGGAAGATAAAGTTGCTAACAATTGAGCGGGACAATTCTCATATAAGTAGTTCTTTTAAGTATAAGATAAGTCGGCTAACAATTAAGCAGTAGAGTTTTGTCTCTCATGCGTAGTGTTTTTATAAGTTAATCCAGCAAACAATTGAGTGAAAAATTTCTCTCATATGTAGTTCTTTTTGTATAAGATACAAAAAGTAATTTGATATAATTTTAGATAAAATTGGATTGCAGCACCACCATCGAGGGCGAACCAAGGCCCAAGCGGGCAAAGCTCGAGGTCTCAAAACTCGGGTGCACCAAGGTGCAGCAACTGCAAGAAGATTCACCAAGGCAAGTGTCGTGATCCCCCGAGATGCTATCAATGCGGGGAGGTCGGGCACATGAAGGTGAGTTGCCCACAACTTGGGCGAGCCGTGGGTGCCGGACCAAGCAGTGGAACCATGGTGAGCAGGAACCGAACGGGAGCACCGAGTACAAGCATGGGGCACGGTGGAGCTAGCACAAGCAATGCACCGTCGTTAATCAAGGGAGGACCCAAGCGAGGGTCTATGCGATTACGGAGGCCGATGCACGTGCTAACCCGGACACCGTCGCGGGTAAATTCTTGAACTTTTGATGTTATTCCCTTGTAAACAACATAAGTGTTAAAATGTACACGTTATGTAGCCAACCGGGAGTGTGCAAGTTCAAAGACTTACATAAATGAAAGTCTGTCTCCTCTCCATTTTGTTGATCTGTCCAGAGCCATCTCGTCCCCTCCTTGGTTTTGAGTTGACCCTATTTCCCAGATACGCCTACGTTTCTCTCCAGAAGGTTCTTCATTATGTTTCAGAACCACTTCCTTATTAGAGCCACTTCTTGAGCCCACCAAATCCTCTTTATCTCCTTCAGCTCTTCCAACCGACCCCTGTTCCTCCCATCCCTGCGAATTCCTACCCGAAGACGAGCCCTCCCCAATCAACCATTTATTTTTTCCTGTAGGGCTGGTCTTCACCCCACCTCCTGCCCTTAGAGACGCATCAAATATTTTTTCCAGGACTAAGCCTTCCTCATACGCAGGCAGAATTTCTCAGAGTGCCCAATCACTCCGCAGACAAAACAAAAGTTATGTAGTTTCTCATACTGGAAATCCACCCAATAACCAACACCCTCTTTTTTCAGAGTTGTATCCTTTTTCAGAGGGGTTTTCACATTAATGCAAGCTTTCACACGCAGATAAGACTTCCACTTTTCCCCATAAGTATTTTTTTATCATAGCTAACAAACCTACCAAGAAAATTGCCCGCTTTTCTAGCAGTTCCCAAATTCAGCAGACAGTAGGGAACATTATGAACCCGCACCCAGAATTCTGCTTCATTCAGATAAATCTGATGTGGAATATCAGTAGGTTTTATTTCTTTCACAATCAGTAAATTTCTCTCAAACTGTCATGGACCCCCGTCAATCACACGCTTCATATCAACAGGATGATTAGAGTTAAAAATATATCTCTTTTCCTCGATCTCCTTGATCTCCATGCCCCTTCCCGGCCTCCAAATTGACGTCATCGTCTCCCTGAAAGCTGGAAAATTAACCTTCTTGTCCGTGATTAACGCGCCCACCACCGGGAAAGCCGGCCACTCCACCTCCCTGGGTTCGTCCTCAACTTCATCATCATCACAAACAAATTCCGCTTCCTTGTCTGCCACGCTCATCTTCCGATATCGGTCAGCAATGGTCTCTGTCCAGTGTACCCACCTGAATCAACACCCGACCTCTCCTCTACCTCCCCTGTCTCGAGTTCTCTGTAACTCCTAACCCAAAGCCCGATCCACCGCACTAAATACGCCCTCCTGTCACCGACTTCCCCCAATGCTGCCTAACTCCAACCGAATCCACCGAACCTCGACGAAATCGCTGAGATCGGACCAAAAAACTAGCGGCACTGATGCCCTAGACAGAGAATTTTTCGTAAAGAGCTCCCGTTAATCATGAAAATTAATAAGTAGCATATTCTAATTAGTTGTGTTAATTAATCTTTCTAATATACTCTTCATTGAATATTTGTTGTATGAGCTCATACCTAATCTAATCCACAAGTCTTATGGTATTGGTTTATTGTACTCTTATTTTCAAAATGTAGAATCCTACAAAGTTAATTTTATTTTTGTTGGGTGTGTTTCGGAAAATAAAGAAAATTAATTAAAATAAATTAATTAATTAAAATGACGAAAGAAAAACAAGAAAAGAGATGGAGCAGAATTTGTCAAAGCTCGTGCTACGCACGATGTCCTTAAAACGTATTTGTTGCCTCCCACGGTGCTAGGAGCGTTGCAACAATAGTTTCCCAGGATACGATGACAACGAACTAGTGTTTGAGCACTCAAACAAAAGTTCCAGCGAACGAGAACAAAGACTGAACACAGAAGGAAATTTTCGGAATGCTAGCAGTGTGTTTTTGAGGTGCAAAACGTGAATGGAGTGTCTAAATTCGTGTGTTGTTGCAAACCACCTGCCAGCCATTATATAGGAGGATTTGTTGTATGAAAATAGTGAATTAATGGACCTGAACGTTGGACATCAATGACCAGTCCGTTGGGCATTGAATTGTCCATGAACTGTCCATTTAACGCTGCATTAAAAGATATAAACGTTGGACATTTATTGGTGTAACGGTTCAGAAGGGGGGAGTCCCTTTATAAAGGGTAGCAAATCCCTTGGGTTTTCCGGTGTGGGAAATTAACACACTAGAAACCCATCCTTTTTCCCTTCTAACGGGTAAACTTCGAAAAGCGATTTCTCATTCACCCGTTATCCGTTTTGAGCGTACCATATATCGAATTGTAGCCCTTAACAAGGACAATCCGAAACCACTTTGACCCGACCCAAATCGGAAGTGGACCCCACTCAAAAAATTGCCCCAAAATAGCCATTTAATGCAATTTTCCACACATTTTTCCAACAATTTTCATATTTAATTAGATAATGAGTAAAAATATATGCACCAACTGCTCTTTCCCGTGCGTATGCACGGGTACTATACTAGTTACACTAGAAAGAAATTCCACTTGATTATCCCCAACATAGCTAGGGGGTACCTAGGCATTCATTCACAATCCGTGTAAACCGAGATGTTGTTTGTTGTATTATACGTAGTAATAAATAAATTTGTTGCAATTGGATCAGAATAGAAAAGGTAAGCGAGTATTCCCAAAAAATATAAATGACAAATTTAAAAAATGACTATATTTTTTGTGTAAAAAATTTTGTATAACTTTTTTCTAAAAGAGTAATTCTATTCACAATCCCCAAATTACTACTCCCTCCATCCCTAAATTAACTTCTAACTTTCCCTTTTCATTCGTCCCAATTAAAACATCATTTGTCCCTTTTTGGTAAAGAATTGGTGGTTCACAATAATTCTTACACATTTTTCTCTCCTCTGCTCAACTCTTAACCACACAATACCCATTATCTTAAACTGTGTGCTCAACCCATTTATAAGTTTTATTAGGGACGGAGGTAGTATTTACAACCATTTAATTAAAATAAAAAAAAATAAAAATAACTCAAATATCCAAATCAACCTTATCAAAAGGAATTAACAGCCAAAGCTCGAGTCTTGAAGAGAGAAGCTCATCTCCACTTTTGGGAGCCACTACCTCATATCTGCTTCAGTGGGCATATTTTACTGTTAAGTGTTAGTTGAATGAAGGAAACATACACCCTCGAACTTAAGTAAATCACTTTACACTGTACAAACACTCTATTCTTAACAACACAAAGTTAAACTACATATCTACACAAAGCATAAAATAGTACCTCCTTAGTTAAAGAAAGATTCATCAATTCCCTTTTCATCAATGACATAATCATGGCATAATTCACTTTCTTTTCTACATTCTCTTTGGTTCACTTTCTTGGGGTGTTTGGAACTCATTCTGCTTCCGCTTCTTTTTTAAAGCAGAAACAGAAGCAGATCAGAATCAATTTTCAGAAGCTTGTTCCCCCCAGCTTCTAAAAAACTGATTCTAGGAGTAGATTAGAGCACCAGAATCACTTCTGCACTTTCACCCAAACACTCCAAACACCCCCTTAGTGTTGGATAATTTGTTATTAGTCTACAATGTTTTAATTGGACTCTACTTAAGTAGCACAATATAAAAAATACTAGTGGTCCGCTAAACAATTTGGACGGATAACTAGCCACTCTTCTGCCACATCGAAAAAAGGCTGTTGTGTGTAACTCCACCAATTCAACTTAATTTGTACAACTCAATAGTTTGGAAGAAACGTCAAACTTGAACCGATGTAATTATACACAGTAGTTTTACTTAGTTTTTTGCAAAGAGTTGCAAGCTCATCCTTCTAGATTGTCTAGTAGGTCACTAGTCGTTTTTATGCTTGGCTAAGTTGAAAGGGTACAGTTGAAATGACGCACTTTGCAAACAGCTTATCAAACTAAAAGAATATCGACTAAAGAAAAGGTGTAGAGGGGGTGAATGGTGAAAGAAATCACTATTTATTCTTGGAAAACTTAGGGGAATCAAGATTATGCCAAAAGATGAAATGAAAACTTAGGGGACTTTGTTTACCAAGGATGTATGATTTTACAATTTTTGTGAATGCGTTATTTAACTTTGTGTTTGTGTAAGTAGAGTATTTGCTTAGGGTAAACATAGTAATAATAAAGACATAAAATTATACAAATATGAAAAGTACCGACATGTATGAAATAGAGGTTATAGAGCTTCTATTCCTTTTCATCCAACCATCTCTTCATCAGATGGCCAAACCACTATCTCCATCAGCCATTCACGCATCACATCCAAGTTCTGATCAGATATTTGTTTATACAGTTCATCGTGGTCAAATTTCTATAACATGAGAGGATGACAAACTTTGTTAGTTTAGTCCCAATACAACATTATTATTGGCTTCACATAGCTTAAAGGTAACACAGATCAAGATTGAAGAACATTTAATTAGAGTTTAGACATTAACCTTTATCCATTTCCCATAGAGGTCCAGACGTGTTATCATCACTCTTTCAGCGAGCTCTTGTTTTTCCTGCAACATATAGGATCACCAAGTTTTTTTTCTGCTCCTTCCACAATGGTAATGTCCATAATATATAATCATGGAAATCAGGGGATTGTTTATGCTTACCTTCATAAGAGTAGAAATAAACTGCTTCCCATCTCTAAGCTTGTTTGTTACTATAAATCTACAGAATTGGCAAACACACGAATTATATATATGGAACAAGACTAGGTACTCAGACGCACAAAAAATGTAGGGTCAATTGTATTATTACAAACTATGGAAATTCATTCAATTGATATTATGTGTGTGTGTGTGTATAACACTAAAGTATATGCGTGTATCAAGAATCAAGGTATACATTTAACCCCCCAAAGCCCATCCTGCCAAACCATTCCCAAACTGACCCTAAGACACGAGATACGGTTTGGGCTTACTCATAGAGCCAATGATATTGTGGAGGGTTCATTTCTTGAAGCTGGTCTAGAACAGTCATTACAGCTTTGTATGTAAAATAGTTTATTATTTGCTGCAGACAATGAAAATTTCATCAATTGTGATATCCTAAATATTCCACATGTGGTAGAAAAGGCAAATAATCGTACGTGCAGTTTCATAGATGGGATAGCAATTAGTTTCAAGCAAATACATCACGCTGCAAGGTTTTATGTATATTTAAACAAAACATGCAGGGGGGTAAAACAAAAACTACATGAACAGTCAGAATGTGACAAAGCACAAAAATGCTAGAAGAAAAAAGAAGATGAAATAAATTGGACATGATAATCTTCCAACAAAACAACAATATTAGCCCAGTGCCGCAAAGCTCCCACCTACGATGGGTTAAGGGGGTTCGGATGTACGCAGCCTTATCCATGAGCTAAAACATGGAGAGACTGGTTCCAGGTGACCCAACGAAGAAAATTGCGTCGAAAATTGCATGGACTAACTAGTGTTTCATAACAAAAGAAACCAGACAGTTTAGTGAGCCATTTTGATTTATTCCATCCAAGCCAAAAAATGAAAATCTTTAGCTCCAATGGAAATGATGGAAAGACATGATATTCTTCCCATTCATCTAAAAACAAACATGGACTTACGTTTGGTTGAGGAATTTTGGAGGATTGGTTTTTGTTTTACTAACTTTTCTTTATTTGTTAGTGATACACTAAAAAATAATCATAATTTTAGTTAAATAGTGTAGTTCTTCACAAATTTTCTCCTTCACATGTTTCCGAAGCATATAAATGTAAAACAGTTGACAAAAAAACTGTTCTTCCCATCCAAAATCCTCATACCAAATCAGGGCTTAGATCCAAAAGGCTATTTAGCGTTTACTTGTACTTATGCAAATTTCTATACCTGCACTTATGCAGTTCTGCAAAGGGCGGTTTATGATGCCTATAGTGTAATTACTTCTTCACAAACAGCACATATAATTAGCAAAAAGTGAATAAGCTAATTAGCAAAAAGGTATATATAAAACGAAGTTCAGAGTGTTCTTACTGATTTCACATCTTCAAAAGCGTCTTCATACTGACCACCGAACTCATTCTCCACTGCAGAGCCCCTCTTCTTCGCCTGCTGCTTTTTCAAACTTTTAAAATGGCCTCGTTGCCCTTTCTTCAAAACCCTCGGGCCGAGAAACGAATAGCTCAATTCCAAGGAACCAAGGCTTTTGATCTGCTTTCCGGGAAGCGAAGTTGAAGAAAGATATCTATGTAAACCTAAATCCACACTGCTGAGATTGCATGAAGCCGGCACAACCAAGCACGGACATAGACTAGAATGAGAGTCCAGCATCATCGACGATGACACAGCGCCCGAGGTCCCCATCGTTGCGGCTGAGAATCAAGATTTCAGAGAAAATGGGGATACCTCAAGGTGAAATTCTGATGGTCTGCTTTTCCAGTATTCCATTTACCAAATCATTTTCTAGTTTTACTAGTATAGAACCAAGAAAAAAAAAGGGTGGTGTATATATTTTTACTTATTATATAATTAAATATTAGAATAAAATAATTTTGTAGGATTCTACATTTTCGAAAAATAAGAATAGAATAAGCTAATATCATAAATTATAAGCTCATACAATAAATATTCAATGAAGAGTATATTAAAAATAATAATTAGCACCACTCATTAGAGTTTGTACTTATTAATTTTCATGATTAAAATAATTTTAAAATTAAATACTATTATAAAAAAAGTGCATACAATAAATATTGAAATCAATGAATACTATGTATCAGCTAAATAATAACTTGCAACTCATTAGTTAAATATTGCTACTCCAGCATTTTGAGTCAAGGGGGACGAAATTTTTTCATTAGTGTAGGCGGTGAAAATTTTTCCGCTAGTGTAGCATGCCGAAAATTTTTTTGCTAGTGTAGCGGGGCGAAATTTTTCAGTAGTGTAGGATTCTGCGGCTAATTTTTGTTCAAAAAAATCCATGAGTAAATACACGATGACATTTAAATATATTATTTTACATTCTAATTTTAGACAATGGAAATATAACTTTGATGTTATAATTGTAAGTGCTCTAGAAAATTATTCGAAAATAAGAAAGGATATAAAATTTTATCAAATATTTTGAAAACAATTTATCAAAATAAGAAGGTAAAGAATTTAAAAAGTACACATAAACCAATGCTTTTTATAACTTCCGCTTTGTTTACGAAGGAGGATATTCGTGGATCACGATAAGTTTTGTTAATATTACAATAATATGTATGCGATTATTGGTTTTAGAATAATATGCTACGTAGTATTGTTAATTCATATATACATGGTGCATATTGTATTTATTGTAATGCTAAAATAAGTTAAAGTTTATTTCTATGCAACAAATTGTTTTTACAAAGTAAGAAGTAAAATAATTGTGTGATTTAGATGATCTAAATTATCGTTGATAATTAATATTTTGGATTCACTTTAGATGATCTAAAAACTATTTAACTATTGTGTATGATATTTAATATCGTTGATATTTTACAAAATCGAGTACTAATGTCTAATAAAGATAATTAAAAATTACAAAACTAAGAATTTTGATATAACAGATATCCTAAGTTTTAAACAATGAGTTGTTTTATTGATTATTTGTTTAAATTATGTAAATCATTTTAGATTTTACTTCTTTTAAATCTCCAATTAAGCATTACATTATGTGAGCTTATATATTAATTTTGAAAACTATAAGATAAGGGGGGCGAAAACATATATATCTCATTAAAATATGAAAATTTTATGAAAATTTTACATGTATAGTAGAAAAAATTGAAAGTCCAAGAGGGCGGTCCCCCCCCCCTAAATCCATCCCCGAGTGCTAGCATATGAGAAAGAAAATTATATTGTTCAATTCTTAGTGAGTAGTGTATCTTATACAAAAAGAACTACATATGAGAGAAATTTTTCACTCAATTGTTTGCTGGATTAACTTATAAAAACACTACGCATGAGAGACAAAACTCTACTGCTTAATTGTTAGCCGACTTATCTTATACTTAAAAGAACTACTTATATGAGAATTGTCCCGCTCAATTGTTAGCAACTTTATCTTCCAATATGTAAAAGCCTACATATAAGAGAGAGAAATTTTTCACTCAACTATTAGCAAACTTATCTTGTTATGTCTAAAATCACTACATATGAGAGAGAAAATTCTCTCATTCAATTGTTAGCCGGCTTATGTTATACCTAAAAACACTATATATGGGAGCAAAAAAACTGCTCAATTAATTGCTAGCTAGTCTTATACAAAAAAGAACTATATATGAGAGCAAATTTTCAACTCAAATGTTAGTCTGACTAACTTATACCTAAAAACACTACATATGACTGATGGATAGTGTACCCTGGGGGTAGCTTATCTGAGGGGTTGTTACGGGGAATCACTAGAGAGAAGTCGGAGCAAACAAGTAAGAGAGAGAGAGAGAGTCAGATATATTGATGAATACTGATCTGGGATCCTTTACAAGAGAAATAAAGGCTGCTATTTATAGCAGCCATAAATGCGATGAGAGTACAAGTGTCAGCAATCTAATGGCCGAGGGGTCACCTCAATCGGGGTGGCACCGGCATTTGCATGTGCACCGCATTAAATGCGGTAGTTAGATGTGACGCAGCATTGAATGCGGTGGTTGCTTGTCTCCAGAGGAAGCTTCGTAGAATGTAAAACCTTCGGCTAGTGACATATGGCCGAAGGCTGATGAGTGGCCGAAGGCTAGGTTCATGCCGAGGGCACCCAATAGCCGAGGGCTACTGTTTTCTGTCGTTTTCTCCCAGTAGCTTTGTATGCTCAAATCTAGCTAACCCGTGGAATTTGGAGCCCTCGACCATAGGGCCGAAGGCACCCATACGTGCACCGTGGGCTTCTTAACACTTGGGCCGCTGTGTTTGGGCTTTGTGTGCTCATTGGGCTTGATGGGCCTGAGTATGAGAAGTAGGAGTCTGTGGGCCGGGGGTCCCTGGGCCATATACTCCATCAATGACAAACAAAATTGTACTGCTTAATTGTTAACCGACGACTTATCTTTATTTAAAAGAACTACTTATATGATAATTTCTCAGCTCAATTGTTAGCGTGTTTATATTCTAATACATAAGAGACTACATATAAGAGAGAAAATTTTCCCACTTAATGATTAGCAAACTTATCTTGTTATATCTAGAAACATTACATGTGAGCGAGAAAATTATCCCGTTCAATTGTTACTCGACTTATGTTATATCTAAAAGCACTACATATGGGAGAGAGAAAATTCCCGCTCAATTGTTAGCTAGTCTTAAACAATAACAAAAATACATATAAGAGAAAATTTTCCACAGCCGGATTAACTTATACCTAAAAACACTATGTATGAGAGACAAAATTCTACTGCTTAATTGTTAGGCAGCTTATCTTATACTTAAAACTACTTATATGAGAATTTCCTATTACCAATGTTATCTTCAAATACATAAAAGACTACATATGTGAGAGAAACTTTTCTTGATCAATTATTAGCAAATTTATGTTATATCTAAAAACACTACATATGAGAGAGAAAATTATTTTGTTCATTTGTTACCCGGCTTATGTTATACCTAAAATCGCGACATATGTACCCGTACATATGCATGGGAAATAGCAAGTGCTGAATATATTTTTAATCATGATCCAAATAAATATTAAAATAAAAACAACTTTTTAGGATTATATGTTATAAAAAATAATAGGACAATTATCATCATCAAGTATAAATCATACAATAATTATTCAATGAAGAGTATATTAGGGAAATTTAATTAACACCGCTCATTAGAATTTGCTACATATTAATTTTCATGATCAAATTTATTTTAAAATTAAATACTATTCTAAAAAAAAGTGAGTACAATAAGTGAATGGTATAAAGTTTAAGTAAATACAATAAATATTCAAATTAACGCATATTAGTTAAATAAGAACATGCTAATCACACACACTTGTTAGCAAGTTTATCTTCTAATACCTAAAGGTGTTACATATGAGAGAGAAATTTCTCCCGCTCAATCATTAACAAGTTTAATTATCTTTTAATAGTTAAAAGCACAACATATGAGAAAATAATTTTCCCGCTCATGTGTTAACCAACTTATCTTATCTTCTTATAACTAAAAGCACTACGCATGAGAGAGAATTTTTCTGTTCAATTGTTTAGTCTATTATCTTATACTTAAATGAACTACACATGAGAGAAAAGGTTTTTCCGCTCAATTGTTAAAAAACTTGTTTTCTTATCTTACTTTACCTAAAAGCACTACATATGTGAGAGAGAATTATTCGCTCAATTGCTAGCAAGTTTATCTTCTAATCTTTTAATACCTAAAAACACTACATATGATAGAGAAAATTATTCTACTGCTCAATTGTTAGCAAATTTATCTTCTACTACTACCTAAAAACACTACATGTGATAGAGAAATTTCTTCCACTCAATTAGTAGCAAGCCTTCTTTTTATACTTAAAACCACTACATATGAGAGAGAAAATTATATGTCTCAATTGTTAGCCGTGTTATCTTATCTTATGTACCTAAAAGCATTACATATGAGAGAGAAAATTATTCCGCACAATTGTAAGTTGTCTTATTTTATTTTATACTTAAAAGAACTATATATGAGAAAAAAATTATCTCACTCAATTGTTATCAAGTTTATCTTCTAATCTTTTAATACCCCCAAAGCACTATATATGAGAGAGAAAATTATCGAGCTTAATTCTCCTACGCAATTGTTAGCAAACTTATCTTTTAATACCTCAAAACAATGCATATGATAGAGAAATTTCTCTTACTCAACTATTAGCAAGTTTATCTTCTTATACCTAAAACAATCACATATGAGAGAGAAAATTATCCCGCTCAATTATTACCCGCCTTATCTTATACCTAAAAGCACTACATATGAGAGAGAAAATTATTTCGTTCAATTGTTAGCAAGCTTATCTTTTAAGACCTAAAAGTACTACATTTTTTAATCCCGAAGGTCACCAACCTAAAAGTACTACATATGAGAGAGAAAACATTCCCGCTCAATTGTTAGTAAGCTTATCTTATACCTTAAAGCACTACATATCATTTCATCATCATTTTCGTTTACCCCAGTGTCGCAAAGGCTCCCACCTACGGTGGGGTAGGGGGGTCGGATGTACGCAGTCTTACCCTTATACTAAAGAACAGAGAGACTGTTTCCGAATGACCCATAGTGAAAATCGCGTCCAAAATTGCATGGACCGACTGCTGCTTCATAACAAAGAAGCGCAGACAGTTTAGTGAGCCATTTTGCTTTATTCCATCATATTCTCAATCCAAAAAAATAATGAATCTTTGGCTCCATTGCAAATGATGGAAAGCTTAAAGCACTACATATGAGATAGAAAAATTCCATGCTCAATTGTTAGTCGGATTACT